CGACCATAGACAAAATCTGTGTTTTTGTCCTCATATCATAACAAATGAAGGACGACCTGTGAATTTAAAGAATCAAAAACAGGACTTACCGACATAACAGCTACAATTTCAGTTGAAACGCGAAATGAATACTAGGACGTGTGGCTTAATCTTGGTTAATTTGTTGCAGATAGAACGTGTTCAGCCACTCCCTCATGAGCGGTCTCTGAGTTGTGTCGACGTGGAGGCTGATGCATATCTTTGCTTTGTTTGTTGCTGCTGCTTGGCGTATGCAAATTGCGAAGAGCGGGGGGAACATGGCAAATATAACACTATGGCATGAGAAAAAAATGCACACTCATTATCAAAACAAATGAAACAAAATACTATTGTACAAGACTAGTCCAAATTGTCCTTTTCATGCAATAACGCTCATGCTTGCCACAGCAATGACTCTAAGATAGCCACATAATGGATTTTATTGTTGTTACATCCTTAAAGGCAACTGCCCTTTCTTATTATTTTGCCTGTTTTGAATCTTTTTTTTTAATATTCAAAGGAATATTATTAAGCCAGCATGGATTTGTAATATGTTATCCAGTCTGATAGATCACAGCCGCAATGTGAAGGTGTATACAAAATTTAAAAAAGGTATCCTGTTCGAGAGCAAATATAGCAACAAAACAAAGCAGACGTCCGGGTTTACACAAGTAAACAGGAGTCTTTCTACTGTCAGCTACGGGTAGTATATAATAGACAGTATTCCTCGTATTATTGAGGCGGAGCAAGGTGAAGCAGGTAAGAGGTCACCGTCAGTATGTAAAGCGAAGGTCACAACCCGCCGTACGTGCTTCTGCGTGCTGTCTACGTGCAAAAACGCTGGCAAACGTAAGGGATCCGTGCGAGGTGAGTACCGCCTCCGTACGGAATCCTACGGATTTGGGAGCACGCAGACACGCCGTAGAACTTTAAGTGCATGTCAAACTTTTTCTACGTGCGGTCTGCGGATTTACCACCCGTGCGTGCCTGTACGTGCTACGCGCGTGCCCCGTACAGCCTATGCCCGTGCAACGCACCTAATTTCTACAGTATATAAAGACAACTTGACGGGCGACTGCCGACTCGTCTCCAAGATGCCCAGGAAGGCTCAGAAGAAGACTACCAGACAAGACCCAAAGAAACGGGCCGCGGAAGACACCAGGGCGGCTAGTGATGATGAAGTTAACAGGAGGTGCACGCACTTACAACGTGCGAGTGAGTAAGGAAACCGTGCGTACGCCGCACGTGTAGGTACGGCCTGTACGCGGCAACGAAGCAATCGCACAGAGATCGTGCGTTGTAAGCACGTACAGCTCACTTACCACTTGCGCAACGTACGATGCACGCAACCGCTGACGGCCAGGCGTGTCGTGCAGACCACGTACGTACACCTTGCGCAACCGTGCGAGTGACGTACTCCCTCGGCCGGTCACCCTACGTTTGCAGAAAAAACGTAGCAGACGTAGCCACGACAACAACGTACGGACAAAAAGCACGCACGTCGAGTTGTGACCGTCGGTAAACTTGTGTGTAATGAGCGTCATGTAATGTACAGTAGACTGGCCACGAAGTGACCCGTACTGACGCGAGTCTACACAGGGAAGTATGTCTTGCAGACACCTGTCAGTCATGATGCCGTTAAAGAGATTGGCCTCAGCTTTGACAGGCTCGGTGACAACTCATTTGGAACGGGAATGACGTCGTTGTCCTTCCAAATGTCGGAAACAACACCTTCACGGAGTGAAGAGTTCATTGTGTCGCATAAGGGTTGTCTCTGTGTCGCTCAATGCAAGGCAAATTATTTTGGCCACCCTTCGGCATAGAGCTAGAGGTACTTAAGTGAGTATAATGTAGTTATGCCAGGAGATGGCGATGGACCTTTGTTTTGAAGCTTTGTGGATTGTAATCGGACGGAAAGCAGCTGTTTGGAAGAGAGTTCCATAATTTTGCAGTCCGGGAAAAGAAGCTGTTGTAAAATGACTTGGAGACAGGTATGTTAACGGTGTATTAATGAGAACTGGAAGAGAACCTAGTGCTGAACGCTGAAAGGTTCTGAGTGGCCGAACAAGAAGTGCAAGTTCTCCTGAACATCGACCATGAAAGTATCTGTAGAAGAGGGATAGGGATGCGACATTGCGTCTGTGTGAGAGGGAATCCAGCTTTGCGGCCAGAGAATGGCCGATGGCAACACAGATTCTCCTTTGAATGCGGTCTAAAATATGTAGCCGATCTTTTGGGGCACCAGCCCAGAGATGCGAGCAATACTCCATGCAAGGACGGATGGTGGATTTGTACAGATTCAAAATACTTGCAGGAGTGAGGTAGTTTCTGGCTCGAAGCAGTGAGTCTACTTTCATAGCTGCTGATTTGACTATGGAAGTGTTCAAAAGCAAATTCACGGACTATCCTAGGTGAGATGTTATCACTGCCGGTGGTCTTTCTACCCCCACCTTCTCAAGTCTGTGCCACATGTCCCAGAAGGAGACAGAGGGTGGTGGGGCTGGGGCAGGGAGGTACGCTGGGAAGATCTTGCTGTTGCAGTGGAACATGCTGTTGAGACGCGGCTGCAAGGTGGATATTTGCTGCATTATTCGGTGATAAGGGTGGAAAGCCGAGTACTTAAATACAGGGTTGTCTTTTATGGGGTGATATACCATTTCGTTACCTTAATAAAAGATCCCGTCCGGGTGATTTGAAGTGAATTTCCAATCACATGGCATGCAGTAGTATTCGTTTCCATTGCCCTTCAATAATCTTTCTATACATTCGTCTGTAGAATATCGTCACGGCATTAATTCAAAAATGTTACGTGTATGATTCTACACAAAACCTTACAAACTTTTTGCAAAACTTTTGAATAAAATGAAAACAACAAAAACAACAAACTGTCAAATTTGTGTAATCTAGTTTTATTAGTTAAGATACATGGCACTGAATTGGAGAGACAGTGTCACTATGTTTCTGGAGATCTTTTATATTAAAAGACGTGTGAGCGCCAACTTTGATGTCTACTAAATGTGGACGGCTTTTGCTAAAACCTCCAAACTTGTTAACCTTTGTTTTAAACATGCCTGGCAATAGTATAATGTTATTAAAAAGCTTTAGAAACAAATGGTGTTGTCATGGCTACAAATTTCTAACTGCCAATTTTCGTAGTATTTAGTAATCTCTGTTTAAACAATATACAAATACAGCTTAGGTAAATCATGCTTTCTAACATCAAAGTCATTTTAAGAAACTTGATGTAAATTCAATTTTTTATATATAGTAATGTATAAGTTATAATAAGCGGTATCGTATAAGCCCACACGGGCTGGGCGCGGGAAAGCGCACGACACGAAAATAAAGTTTCAAAAGTTTTATAGTCGTTTGCTGACGTCGACGGTGAAAATCTAAGATACCTGTTCCTTCCAGCTAAAATGTATCGAAACTGAACTAAAATACCAAGGAGAAAAATGACTTTTTATCGATATTAATGTACGGTGCTTGCCGGGTGAGGGGCAGTCAAAAAGAGGGTTCGGTTTTGTTTGTTTTTTCACTGGTACACCCCTATCTTGATATATATATTTTTTTCAATTGATCCCAGACCGACGCATTTAGTTTTTAATGGCTCCACCTTTTAATGCCTTTTTACATGAAACGCGTTACAGTTAAGTCTTTTAACGTGACGGCTGGCATGAATACCTGGGTTTGTCACACAGCATACGGCAGCGTTTCCTCAGACCCGCCCTAGCACATGAGTGCGGTCCAAATTTGGCTCTTGATCTAGGAGTTGGAGGGGGGATTTGGGACTATAATTCAAACCGAACGGGCGTTTGATCTGAAATAAATTTAAAAAAAAAAGACATGGTAGCTAACTGGTAACTAATTGTCGGTGCAAGAGTGAGCACATGTTCCCAAAACATATTCTAGTAAAGTCGCTAGATATAATTTAGACTTAGAAAAATATTTGTGAATAGAGTGTTCCTAGAGATAATTTACTAGTTAAATAGGCCAATTTGTCTCAAGTTATAATGACTCCTGTCCTCTTTGTTATGATACCGGAAATGGGATCGCCTTTATTCGCGTAAGTACGGTAGCGGACATATTAGAAACTGAATGTTGGAGTGGTAACCCTTTCATATTTGACCAACGAACATTTTACAGTTATCAGATTAGTTAGGAATGTAAGTTAGATAAAAAAAGATAACGGGGTTAATATCCCCCATGGAAATTAGAGGTATTGTTTTTGGCGTGTCTGTCTGTATGCCTGTTTGTGTTTCCGGGCATTTGTGGGCAATATAACTTTTGAATCTTTGCATGGATTGTAATAATATTTGGTTTTTCGGAAGGTGTTGGGTAGGCAAAGGTCAAGATCGATTTTAAGCCTCCTGGTGGCTGACCTTGGTACTGCAGCAGAACTTCCGGTTTTTGTATCTTTGTCCTGGACAAGCTATGGTCTTAACTTTTGAGTAGCGGATAGCTTTTCCTGTCGGTAATAAGTGGCGTGGGTTTTGTCCCCCTAGCAGCCTTTTCTGGAACCATGTGGGGGGGGGTGTTCTGGCGAAGACTTTCAGTGGAAATAAATCCACCTTCATTTGCATAATAAATGAACAACTGTAGTGTCGGTGTTTTACATCATGGGCCTATGTGATGTTTATGATCTATGGCATTTGGAATATCAACAGATAGCAATTATGTAAATAAGGACCTAACTCGCATAATTAATCTGGAAATTCTTTAACTGCTTAGTGGTAAATGATGGAAATTACATACTTGGGACATGTGTAAGCTACTCAAATGTTAACATCACGATGCATATATTATGTTAATGTAGAGGTCATTTGCATAATTAAGGAAGAACTTCACATGTACATATCAAGCCCATATTTCATGGAGGTATGAGATATCGAAACTCGGTTTTTTGGGGGGAGGGGGGAATAATATCCCAGTATACCGATGTTCCTTGGGAAAGGCTAAAGCAAACCGTTTTTAAAAGTTTATTATTGGTCAAGCATACCGTGCGCACCCATACCCTCCGGTACTTTCCCTTGTCTCGCAAAGAAACGCTTATCCCAGTCTATCCTAAGCATTTTTAGCTCAGAACACAGGGTCTGATCCACCGTAAACTTTGCATTCCAGGTCGTCGCTTCAATAACGTAGTCACTGTAATTAACGGGAGAATTGCAAAAGAGGTTTACTTTATAGTTAACCCGTCTAAACAATTCTACTTCATTCTGGAAATCTTCCCCTTCTTTTAAGATTTCCCTCCAAAGAGTTTTGTTGAAGTAGCTATACAACATGTAGTCTAGGTCGCTTGAACGTTTATGGTTTTCTTTAAGTTTCTCAGGGATATCTGTTTTCTTATAAGAATACGAACGATAATTCCGAATTTGTTTGTCGTATAAGATGTCTTGAAGTTTCCAGCAAAGCTTTCTTTTAAGCAGAATTAGCGATTCGTCATAATACTCCAAAATCATCACGTGATCAAATTCTTTGCCGAGCTCCAGGATACGAGCTTGTGCCTTCTTGTTGTTGCCAGAGTACTCTGGAGGTATGCCCATCATAAAAGCCTGCCAGTTCCTTGTTTTGTACAGAATCGTGCCGAACAAATACTTTGGGTTGCTCAGATAACCCTCCAATGGTAATCCAAAACGCCTGTCTAGGTGACGATAATTATAGATTGATTTCAGGTGACTGAGAGGGTATCGCAAAATCGCGATGAAAACCACGTTCTTCTGCATGACGTTAGCCATCTTGGCTCTGTTGTAAGGTAAATGGTGTAGCATTACATCATACGGAGGGTAGAAGGGCAAATTTACATAGTTCAGATCATGTGTTTTTAGCCCTGACTTTACCGGATTCATTGGTAGGACAATGGTGAGGTTGTTGCTCCAAACGAATCTCTAAGGATAAACAAAATGGAATAATATTAGGACGATCCCTCTCTACCTCTTTTTTTCTCTCTTAAGGCCACACCGACTTAATTTTATGGATGACATTCGCGTGCGCATTGATTTTCGACTGTCGCCCACAAAAAAAATATCACCTCCACGAGGCTCTATAGGCCTGGGTAGGCCATGGTAGTCAGCGACAAAACGAAGCCGAGCGCCCAGGCTATCGAATTCAAAGCTCCACGACTCAAGAACTCGGTACATTAAGTACAGTACCGATTCATAAATGCTGCAAAAGTCCAGCATGTGCCGGCTTGCCATATATGTCGCTAAGTACTGTCGCGAATTCACAATAGTCAATACCAGCATTGTATTCCTGTGGTTTAGTAGCATTTTATTTTTGGCCGAATTTTTTTTTTAATTCGCCCGCGCGAACTACTTTGGGGGTCTTTAGAGGATGTCATTTAAAAGTAAATCGGTGTGGCCTAACCTTGTAGAGGCGAAGCCATAAAATAGTGTGACAACATTTGCTAAAACAAATATAGGATCCCTTTAATTTTTTCTACATTAACGAATTGTGTAGCGTGGCAAAACCATGCAATAATATTTGCTGAGCCACTGTGCGTTGTGATTCCTGTGAATATACCTCTAATGCGCCATGTTCTTAAACAATTATAGCAAAAAGATAACATGAAGATGTTCTACTAAACACATACCTGAAGGATGCAGGCAGTATTATGTGACCCTGCCTTGTGCACTTTAATAAAAACAAAACTTTTTTGAGGCAAACAGTGTGAAGCAGTTAGATTGAGTCGCAAAAGATTGGTGTTTGTGACATCAGTAGTATCTATCATGTGAGTATCATCTTGTTTCTCGGCATGCAATTTATCAGTGGTGGTGTTCTCGCCCGATTTGACGTGGCTGGGAGGCGTTTTCCTTTCCCTACAAGGAATATTGAGAATTTCATAACTATATTAACATGTTGAACACATGGGTTACACAGAAATTAAATTTGCAATTGTCGCCATTATCAACAAAATTAATGACCGATCACTTGCGAATATCAAATCGGAATTTTCATAAGGTACTTAACAATACGGGACGTCAGCAATTGATCAAACATGCCTCGGTTCTTTCGCGACTAGTACACAGTAAACGTGACAAAAGGGTTTGGTGGGGCCGAGTTAGAGGTGACATCTCTCATCAATTATCACGAAATATCACATTAACATATCTGAAGATAAACTACGGTTTCCTGAGTTTTGATTCGAGCCGTTGAATATTTTAAAATATTCAGTACTAGGATTATCTTTCTTCTCTGCCCGATCTTTTTTCTATGGGATTATCCTATGCAAACATTCAAATTTTGTGCATGAATTATCTGTATCAGTATAGCCGGTATAACCGCCAATCGGCGTAACACACCAGCTTTGCAGGCATGCGGCGAGGCGGCAGCTAGTTTAATCACACCGAACGACTTGCATTATAAAATGAAAAAAATGTGTTTTTTGGGGTAATGAAAAGTTCTTTTTTTTTCCACAAAATCAGGCGTCTTCAGTGCTTCATTCTTTTCAACACAATTTACCCTAGTGTGGTTGCTTACATTTTTGAAACAAAAGAAAAACGACAAAGGGACGAAAAGAAATCATTCGGTTTTTGATAAAAGAGATATTTTTGCAACTGTTCAAACAACACAGAACTTTTTAAATCGAAATGTGAGCAATATTTCCTACTTTCGGAAACAATAGAATATGTCCTAAATATGGCTCAATTTTGGGGACAAGTACAGAGCAACTAAGTAAGAACCCATCTTCTACATCTGGCTTTCATTTCATAGACAATAGATGAAGTTACTTCTGTTAAAAAATTGTATTCAAATAACATCGTACCTTGGCGTTTATAGGGACCTGAACCTAAGGCTGACGACTGACAGACCTACAGGTGTACAGGTGGCTGGGTGCTCGGAAAATGTGGTTTTCACCCTGTTAACAAGTTCTGAGGGGGGGGGGGGTCACTCGCACCACCCCCCACCCTCCCGTCCCACGAATCCCAGAAAAGTCCAGTCTAGATAGGGTTAAAATATAGTCGTGTCCCGTATTCTAACAGACCAATATTTCAATACAACACAGACCAATATGAAAATTTTAGATCCAACCGTCCTTCGGTACAAAAGCTTCAATATATAGAAAAATATCACATTCAACAGTCGCTAAAGGACTGTCGTAACCCTAAATGCGCCATAGACAAGGCGACCGCACCGAAGCCCACCTAACATAACAGCAGAAACATGGAAAAATAAGAAAAGAACGAAGGCCACATAACTGTCTTCTAAGACAGTCACAGATTCCTTGCACCTACCTTGCTTTAAACCTACTAACACACACAAAAAAAGCTCTTTTTTGCACCGGAGGATAAAACATTTAAAGAAGAGAATTGCGGCATGGTGTACTACACTCTGTGGTATAAAACCAAAAGGCAGGTGACTTGCGAAGAATCCTGCATTGGTGAGACAGAACGCTCATTGAGGACCAGCTGTCTTGACACCGGAGCTCGTTGTCGTCGGAAATTTCCCAACACATCCACATCGAACCACGGGACCTGTTTCCCGTGCCCGTCCCATTCTGTGCCCAAGCCAAGGTACAGTTTGGGACAAGTCATGGTTTGGGACACAACAGGGCCCTACCGTCTTACTGGACAAAGTTAGAATACTGAACAAGACGTCATTTGTACGTTTTAAGAGGCATTAAGCAGATCACATACAAATACACATACATGTGCCACTCTTGCCATTACTTAACAATCGTTTGATCAACTGTTGACGTCACGTATCCTTAAAGTGTCATCAGCTTTTCCGAGATTAGGGTATACCAAAGGCATCCTGTATTGTTATATCCTTGAACTAAATATTTTTAAACTATGTTGACATATCTAAAAATATCATTTAAACACAGGTATTGTCTAGAAAATTCTGTGAATTTTTGGTAGAAACATTCTCAAACATTACACTAGACCAATTTTATTCCCAACATTGCTATATAATATCTGTTATACTGTCGCATTTACAAGCAGGCAATTTTTTGAATAAGCCATTAGGTAAGTTCTGACAAATCTTCTTTCCTGGAGCATAGTTAACACTATGTATACCATGTTATTGAAAATGTATTTTGAACCATTAAAACCCTTGTCCTGCTGCCATTCCTGGCTCAATATTTTTCAATAATTTCATGTTTTAATTAGATCATAGAACCCAATTTTTGTTTGCCTTGCAGTGGCATAGTTGCTTCCGCATTCGTTGCGTTCCGTTGCGGTGTGAAGCGTTGCACGAGAAATCCCCCCAAATCGTACCTATACAGGGTGCTATATAGATGGTACTGTATGTGCCGCGCGACATATGTTGCGCACAGCAGGATGTGGGTTAAAAGCAAAATATCTCCTTGTACCCCTATTACAGTTGTAATAGGATTGGCCTCAATAGTTCCTGTCACGCATGAACATAAATTCATTTCGACTAGCCTCCCGGATATAAGGTATCTCTCTCTCCCTCTCTTTCACTCTCTCTCTCCCTCTCTTTCTCTCTCTCACTCTCTTTCTCTCTCTCTCCCTCACTCTATCTCTCCCTCTCTCCCTCACCCCTCTCTCTCCCTCTCTTTCACTCTCCCTCTCTTTCCGTCTCACTCTCCCTCTCTTTCTCTCTCCCTCACTCTATCTCTCCCTCTCTCCCTCACCCCTCTCTCTCCCTCTCTCTCCTTCACTCTCTCTCTCTCTCCCTCTCCCTCGCACTCCTGCTCTCCCTCCCCTTATATATATGTCGTTGGTGTATATATATATGTAGTGTTATATTTCTTTATACAGTCAAAACGATCCGCTTTGACATAATACGAGAGAATATATTATTATTAAATTGACTTCGACTTGCCTCCCGGATATGATGTTCCAGATATGGCTCATTCTGCGGTACTGGATGAGAACAGAAAACACCACCAGGCCCAAAAGCAGAGCGAAGGCCAGTCGTAATGTCCTCATTTTCATGGGTTTTTCAATATTCATTACCCTGAAAACGTGGCGTTACATTGTCACAGTGTGACTACCATGATTGGTGTAAGAAGCAGTAAAAAAGGTTGTTAATTTCGTTTAATGAATAAGAGACTGTACTAAATAATAGATTATGAATGTATAAAATATTATTTACAGAAATAGCGACAAAACATACAGACAGGTAACACGGCAATAATAGCTTGTCGTTGGTGCTTTACTAACTTTAAACAATTAATGTACTAAGGAAACGTACGAACATGATATCTTTAGACAATTATCGTACTGTAATCTAACGTATGTATTCTTTTCGTCATAAATACCTTACCTGTCGTCTTCAACAAGTCACCAAAGTACTGTTTAGCCCCCCAAATAAATTTGAGACGGTGTTTGGTTTCGTTCCACGACAGAGACCACCACACGTTGCAACCAAGCCACAATTTATCGTGTTCTCTGGTATTTGCCACGAATGCGGAAAGAGAATCAAGGATAGGGGACGGCCAGGTGTAATATATAGTAGTGCCTGATATATCCGGTCCAACCTTTGACTTTGTCAAAATATCAATGTTCAAATCAACTAATTTGGAATTCAAAGGTCTTGTATTACATGCAGACACGATTCGACGAGCTTTCTACATATATTAGGTATTATGTTGATTATTTAAGAACAATCAAAATGCCCAACCAATTGTGTAACCCTAATACATTCTACCAAAGGTACGGCACTATGCATTTACTGTGGCTGAGGCTGACTCCAGCCCAGTCTGTTTGAAAACAAAAATCCTTTACATGCTGGTATAACAGCCTACGTTTTGGACTCAAATGATCCAATAGGTTTCGTTTGCACCCGATGTTTTTACTTTAAACGAGCTAATTTAATATTGGTGGTCGTAAAAATGATAGGCTTAATGATTCTATGGGTGATGATGATGGGATTTATGTATATCGGCTATATCCAAGATCAGGTGATGCACTTGGGCCATTTTTTAAAGTTTCAAAATTTACCACTATCAGTACAGAAACGTGGACTATAAGTGATACCACGTATAGTGCTTTTTAAATTTCTGGATAGCGATGTACGGTTTTAAAGTTACGCTCCTTCAAACTTCAGTGAATTACTTGACAATGAAACTGTACGGACACTACAGGACACTACAGCAAAACAGCAAAACTTGTTGTATCCTCAAATGACTTTACAGAACTAAAAGGAGGGTACAAATTCATTAAAAAATTCTATCTATCTATGGCAATCACTCGTGATCTTTATTTCCGGAATCGAACCCGGGTCTCCTTGTTAAGCGCCGAACGCTCTATCCACTTCGCCACACGACGCCACGAAAATGTGCAAATTACAACATTGTTATTTCACTTACATTTTTTCTTATATAGTGTACAATCTCTATGGACACTACACATCTCTGTTGACACTACACACCTCTACGGACACTACAACTTGGTAAGTTATGACTTTCATTTTCTTTTTTTAAACCATTATCAAAGAGTGGAGTGAAAAGCAAATAAGTTCTTTGATCACATGTGCACAACCATTTATTTTTCACGAGCCGACGTTTCGATGACCGTCTGTCATCTTCATCAGGGCAATTCTGACTGGTTTGCTGTGCACTGACGCTAGATGTTACTTGGTGCATAGTGCACTAAAGGTGTAACGTAGTTACATAGTTCACAGTGCACTGTTCGAACAGGTGATCTATACCGGAACCGTACCTGATCGAAGGAAGGGGCTCTGGAAGCGGCCAGGTAGAAGATGAATAAAAAGAGTTGAGTTAATTAAGTGAGTTTCGAAAAAAAACTACCTCCGTCCTTCGGTGGTAGTCGGATTTTTACCTGTGATGACAGCAATTTGACGTGTAGGCTGCAGCTCAGGAGCCCAGTTGCGGATGTTTTAGGACTCGGGGATAACATGCTCAACAACTTCTCTTTCAACATTGTTGGCTCTCAGAATTTAAAAATTCCAGACGAAGAAATGATTTTCCCTTTTAGATTTGGATTGTGTTTTTTTTTGTTCCAGCCGCCTGTGATCATTTATCAGATAAAACCAACGGGAATGATAATTACGAACACTCAGTATCGTTCTTGACCAGATTTCTTTCCCGTGAAGACTGTACAAAATGTTGCATAGCTCTTATTTCGTTCATTTCATTCTTCTTTTTTCTATCGGATGATTACGTACTCTGTGGTAGGCAGCCCGATCAAAGGGGGTATTGGCAGGGTCAGGGTTAGTTTTTAACAACATGAATGGTGATTTAGATTACTTTCTGTTGTTTTGAATTTTCTAAAACTTGTAAATAGAAACTGTCGCAAAATCGCACGGCCTTTAAAGAAATATTCTTTAAAATGCACTTGCACTCTGGAAGAGGCGAAGGGTGGCCTGAGCAACGACGTGCCGGACAAAAGTAGCCACGTGACAAGTCTCACTGGGTCAGTCTACTGAAGAAGACCAGAGTGACTGGTCGAAAGCTCTAGGTGAGAGAACTTTTCGTGCTGGATCGTAAGTTTTCACTTTAAACGAATAGTTGATGTTTTCAAGTCTTACTTTTTTTAGAGTTAGTAAAATATTCTTCACTGAATGTTTTTGTAAATTAAAATCACGTACCTACTACCTCACTACCTACCTAGACACAAGCAACACGCTAGTAACTTAGTGAGAGCAAGGAAGTAGAAAAGCGCCATGGTGAGAGATTTTGTCTCATCATCAACACTAAAGAATATCAATATAGCGTCTATTTCTACGTAAATTGGAGCAGTTTTTTTATATTACAATCACAGGACGTGTTGGCGGCACACTCAGGTTTTTTCAACTCATATTAATGTCGCCACCAATACATGCGACAGGACAATACTCCTTTCTACTTCAGTGAAGTAAGGAAAGTCGTGTAGAGTGCCTTTCCACACGACTACAAGTCGGAGCGGTTTTCAAGACAAGAATGCCTCGGGACATTGGCAAACAAACCGGGACAAGACTTCTGTCCAGACATACGTTGATTAGTCCCGACTCAACGCCGTGCTGTGGCACATGATGTGCGGCCCATGGGTTGCCGCCTCAGCGAGGCTTGGTGCACAGCGCGGACTGTTCCTTGGGGCATAGCAGATAAGTTGGTCCGGTTTATTACTCACCTGTGTGGGGTCTTTTCACTTGTGACTGCCCGTAGCGCCACGGTCTGACTCACACAGTACCACCAGCCAGTATCCAAGTTAACCACATGTGAAGTTCAGCTTCTAAGAAACTCTATCTCCTGAAACGATTGAGGAAGTTCAGCCTGTGGACAGCCGACCTGACAACAATCTACAAATGCTACGTCAGGCCCCTACTAGAGTATGCTGCTCCTGCATGGTCTCCAGGACTCACAACATCTCAAACCGACAAACTTGAACGAATCCAGAAGCCGGCTTGCCGCATTATCCTAGGGAACAAGTATTGCTCCTACTCTTCTGCACTTCAACGCCTCGGGCCAGTGTCTCTGTCAGAGAGGAGAGAACTGCTCTGCCGGACATTCGCAAGGATTCTACTAAGATCCGAATTCAGAGACTGGTTACCACCCACTAGACTACAGATCACCGGCCGAGTAACTAGAAACAGTCACAAACTGTCCAATCCCATAACAAGA